TCCATGGAGATTCGCAATGGAAACAACAGTTGATCGAAGTTGCAGATTCTGTGATGAGTGACGGACATCGCCTTGACCACTACCTGAGAGAATGTAAACACCTGAGGGAGATTAGAAATATGTGTAGAAAAAAAACACATTGTTTGAGTTAGAAACACTATTTGTCAAATATTGATACTGGTCTTAGAAGATTTCCCCATTTTGCACCCGCAAGATAACGTGAGATTTTAGGGTTAACAGATGTTAATCTTCTTGTTTGAGGAGCTGTTCATTTGAGCTAGTTAAGCAAGTCCCAGCTGTGTCTGGGGTACAAGTGACAGGATGAACAACCCAGCGGGTTTTCTTCCTATTGGGGAGTGTTGGTCATGCTGCTATAGCGGTATTTCCACTCACAGGATGAGTGGCGCTGCCCAATAAACTCGCCCTTCGGGGAAAAAAAATTAAAATGAATGTGTCTTTGATGTAGAGGCTAACCCCACCCTGTAGCGTGTGTTTCCCGTCACATCTGAAATGACTGTACTCCGGAATCCATATTTCACTGCTACAGTCCTTTTTGTGGGTTTCCTTTAGGGCTGCAAGCACTGCATTTGCCTCATTCAGGAGGCCAGGTATAAAATGATCTTTGATCTGCGTGTTTTATACCCTGAACGTTGGCAAATAAAAATGATGTTATCGTGTTTGTGGAAGTGGTGGATGCCTTACTTGGTGTTAACGTCTGGGGGTTATGATAGGGAGGCCTCTGTGTGTGTACTCTCTAGCTTTTGACACAGTTGGTGGTGGAGGGATAGTGACAAGCAAAAGTAGAATGTTGTACTAATGAATATAGACAAACTGGAAAGGTGTTTCGTATTTATGTTGCTAATAATACCTAATCTAACCATCTTAGGCGTAATACACGCTATCTGAGGGCAAATATAGCACATGTATGCGCGATACTACGCCTAGGGTAATGGGAGCCGGTCGGCCGAGCGGACAGCACGCTGGACTAGTGATCCTGTGGGAATGGGTTCGATCCCGGGCGCCGGCGAGAAACAATGGGCAGTTTCTTTCACCCTATGCCCCAGTAAAATAGGTACCTGGGTGTTAGTCAGTTGTCACGGGCTGCTTCCTGGGGGTGGAGGCCTGGTCGAGGACTGGGCCGCAGGGACACTAAAGCCCCGAAATCATCTCAAGATAGGGTATTTAAGTTCGGTTTTTAACTATTTATTCCGGGCTCTGTAAGGGAATAGTACCAAATTCTACTCAGTGTTCATTACGTAAATATATGTACAATGGTGCATATAGTTACAAAAAGTACTATCCGCACAGGAGGATGGGCTGCTTCTCTCAGTAACCAAACAAATCCACAACAGTCTGGTCGAACTATTCTCCTGTTCCCTCAGTAGCAACGAACAAATCTACACCGGCCTTGTCCAACCATTCTCATTTTCCCCCACTGATCAAACGCCCCTCCGACCCTAAAAAAGTAAATCTTGCCTTTATATCCTCGCGAGAAAACAGAGAAGGCGGAGTTTATGTACTTTTTAGTACGCTGTGAGGGGGGCGGGGGGGGGGGAGGTTCTTGTCCCGGCGACTGCCATCTCGCAAGTAATCCATTTCCGGGTCTTATAGCTGGGTGACAAGGCATAAAAGAAATACCTTTAGGGAATATTAAAGACTGGTCGCCCCACGGCGGTATGAGGCACCCGGAACTTAGAAATTACCTTATCTATGAGGCTATCCTCATGGCCCATCCAACTGATTACCAATCCCTGGATGACACAAACATACTAGTGATCAAAATAACACTTCGTATAGTCTAGGGTGACTGTATAAATGTCGATGTAAATATATTTATGATAAGAGGAATGAACCACCATTCCTTACCTTGCGATGATTCCGGGGCTTAGCGAGGAGGCCTGGTCGACGACCGGGCCGCGTGGGACGCTAAGCCCCGGAAACACTTCAAGGTAATTTCACGGTAGTTAAATCACCTCAAGGTAGGTGAACAGATGCATATGGGTGAAAGAAACTGTGCCCATTTGTTTCTGCCTCGGCCGGGAATCGGCCGAGGCAGAAGAGAGAAGGAGGAAAGAGAGGAGAAAGAGAAGGAGAAAGAGAGAGAATTAAGATTGAATTTGCTTCTTTGGATTATTTCTCATGGTGGCAGTGGTTGGAGGGGGAGGGGATAGTGAGGATAGGTAAGCCTATCCCAGGGGTTGCCGGGTGTAAGGGCTGGGATAGGTAAGCCTATCCCAGGGGTTGCCGGGTGTAAGGGCTGGGATAGGTAAGCCTATCCCAGGGGTTGCCGGGTGTAAGGGCTGCCAGAGATGCACATTGTATTATATCATTTACAAACTAGATTACAGTCTGAGCCAGTTGAATTATTAACGTGTATATTAACATAACTCGGAGTTTAATGCATAACAACTTGAAATAAATTATTCAATGAGGATGCCGAGATAATAACCAGTCACAGGATTCATCATTTACGTGTCATCTTACGAAACCTTTACATCTTTCGTCAGTGACAGCGGCTTACCGGGCACGAGAGCGCTGGGAACCGCCTCGTGGTTGCCTATAACAACCACCTCGGGTCGAGGACCACCTCGCTGCACCTCCAACCTCGTAAAACGTTAACAGACCAATCCGCGGACCAATAATGGCGGCTAACAATAAGGACAATTTACACTTATATTTTTTTTTAATCCCATTCCAACTCCGTCACTATCTGGTAACGCAAGACACGTGGCGCCACCTGCCTGTTTCAAGCGTAGGTTAGACACACACATACAGCCCAGCCTCCTCTTTTGGTAGTACTTAGAGCAATGATGAGGACCGTAGTGTACATGTACCGACGTACAAATTGCAAAGTAGAAATCTGAAGTATTGAGTTGGACAAACCGGAAAACTAGTTTGTACTTGTACTCACCTAGTTGTGGTTGCTGGGGTGGAGCTCTTTGGGCTCTTTGGCACTCTGGGCTCTTTGGTCCCGAGTGGCCTTGACAAACTACACTAACCTCACCTCCCTAGGCCTAATACACGATATCCGAGCCATAATATATTACATGTGTGTGCTATAGTAGGCCTAGGAATATTTACGTTTGGTTTTCAGCTTCCTTTATTTGAAAAGCGCTCGTTACTATTGGGTAGTTCTCTAAACTATTGGGCCACACTAAAATGCCTAAACCTGTATTCTCTTGAGCGCCGGCGGGAGAGATACATAATAATTTACACGTGGAAAATAGTAGAGGGGCTGGTCCCAAACCTGCACACAGAAATAACACCACATGAGACCAGAAGGCATGGCAGGATGTGCAGAATACCCCCGTTGAAGAGCAGAGGTGCAACAGGTACTCTGAGAGAGAACTCTATCAACATCAGAGGCCCGAGACTGTTCAACACGCTTCCACTACACATAAGGGTCATAACTGGCCGACCCCTCACAGTGTTCAAGAGAGAACTGGATAAGCACCTCCAAAGGATACCTGACCAACCAGGCTGTGATTCATACAACAGGCTGCGAGCAGCCGCGTCCAACAGCCTGGATGACCAGTCCAGCAACCAGGAGGCCTGGTCGGGGACTAGGCCGCGGGGTCGCTGAGCCCCGAAGCCAACTCGTGTATATTCAACAAGATATACTAGTCAGTATACTACTGTCTAAAAGCGTGACCTCATAATTGCAGAGAGCGTTGAAGTACCTATCCTTAACAGTTAACCAGAAATGACTCCAGATATTCCCTTGCCATCCAGCTAAACATAACTAAACAGTTGTGCACTCTACCACCAGGGGGCTACACATGGCACTCTACCAACAGGGGCTACACATGGCATGAATAAAGACATTCATCATGCATACATACTCGTGTCTGATAATATTCAAGACAATACGTGAAGTTGTTCAAGATATTGTAAGGACAATGTATTCCTGTACACGCTAAACACATGATTTTAGCAAAAACTACAAGACTGTGGTGAGTGACTGGTGAGTGGCGGGCGGTGTGCTGGTGTTCCTCACGCCCACACTCCTCACATCTCTCTCCACCCTCACAGCTGCCCCTCACGCCCACACCCTCACAGTGCAAGGATATTCCTTCAGAGGATACGTAATTATATACACAAGATGACGCATAGGGAAATTTGGGTCTACCTTAATGCACTTAGTTATATAAATCTAAATTAACATCAAGAGTGATAACAGGAGTCACTTACCCTCCCCCCCCCCCCACACACACACACACATTAGACGACTGACAGTTAGAAAGGCAGAGTCCAAGAGCTAACAGCTCGATCCTGCAGGAACAAATAGTAAATGCACACACACAGGTACTCGAACAAGGGGACACAGGTGAAAATTGAGTACCTAATTGAGCCACAGAGACATTTGAAAGAAATTTTCAGTGTCAGAGTAGTTAGTAAATGGATTGCAATAGGAAGTGATGTGTTGGAGGGAGACACTATACACAGTTTCAAATGTAGATATGATAGAGCCCAATTGGTTCAGGAACCTGTAAACCAGTTGATTGACGGTTGAGAGGCGGGACCAAAGAGCCGAAGCTCTTTGCAAGCACAAGCAGACGAGTACACACACAAGACATTGTATAATGTAGCCTGTTACAGCAACGGGCCCCAGGACCACAGCCCAACATGTCCGGCTCTCCTGCTGTCAGCCACGCTAACCTAAGGTGTCAAGAACACCGGAGAAGTAGAGAGAGTAGAGGACAGTGTAGACGGTAGAGGACAGTGTAGACGGTAGAGGACCTACCTTCACATGGTCAGCAGAAGCAGTGCTCGGGGCTCCGGCGACGTGTCGTCCAAGAGGTGAGCAGCTCCGGTGTCTTCAGCAACTCTTGGCTCATCTCAACACCTCTAATGAACTGCTATTTTGAAATACGCAAGTTCAGAGCGTTACGCACAAAACCCTTCACCACTTTTAGTCTTGCTTTACTCAAATATATTTATTGCCTTTCCACAGAATACTGATCTTTCTAAATATCGATTCGTCACAAGCACTATTTAGAAAAAAAATGTTCCAATCACTGTATTTAAGATTCCGCGATACCTGTGTGTAGCTTGTTGGTAAATGATCCCGGTACACCAGTTCCCAGTGGCTGACTCCTCTGGCTTAAGGGGTCAGCACAACTGTTCCGTGGCTTAGGTGGAGTCCTACCAGCGAGCAGGGGCCTCCAAAGGTACACAGACGGACGCAAGCCAGCAGACAAATGTCATCAATCAAGCCACTGGTGCCATGCTTTCTTGCACAGGTAAAATGAGAGATGCCTTTGCCTCTAGTTCTCTGGCCATGTGTCCTTGAACCACAGCTCCCAACTCCTCAGGACAATTTTCCTCTCTGTTTCCTCATCTGCTTGACTTGGCCTCTTCAACCCTCAACACACCTCCTGGAGAACAAGAAAGGTGCATTAGCTTGATAAAAAAAAACTCAATCTAAACAAAACATCTCAGGAAAGTAACTTTATTCCACCCTGTAAACTAATTACAATTATGAATAACAAATCTATAACTTTACATGTAAAAAAGGTAAACTAACTAATGGAGTGCACATAAATATTAATACATGGAGAGGAACAGATTGGCAGACTGCTAAGTAACTACTCTTGCCGTCAGCACAAGGCCACCGAATATTGACTAAGTATTCCTCTGACAATACTGACACTACTAACCTGGAAGAGTAACACCTAAACCTCTCAACTGTGGCTCAGCAAAACCCCACGAATTATCCCAAGAGGATATCCCGTTCTTAGTCTATCCCCTATCCACTGACCAAAAAGCACCGTTGCCACACTCCTCTACTCACCAGTGCCTCAACGCGCACTATCCCCCGACCTCATACCCAACCTGTCACGTAATTGGGTTACATTGATAATAAGCTTCAATGACCTTCAAGCTAAGTAATTTACAGTTGTGAACAGGTGTACGCGTTTCCATGTGGCTCAAGTCCCGCCCACACCACATCCAGCAGGTTTTTATTATTATTATTATTATTATTATTTTCTACCACAGACGTGGCCACACATTTACAATGCTAACCAGCATATATACATTTTCTTCTGTCCTCCATGGACAGGGTGAAAGATCTGTTAAACATAGTTCAGTGATTGATTGAACAATCAACCTCAGAAGGTGATTGTAGTGCTTTTAAAATGCTAGTCTAACTTACAGACATAATTACATAGATACACAGAGTTACGTCTGCCAAACAAAGTGTTCGATGTGTTCTTTACATAGTGTCATTAATGCGCATTTACAAAGGTGAAATGTAATTCTGATCAGCTTCCACATATACTTTATACACATACATATATATACATACGCACACGTGTGTGTGTATATATATATATATATATATATATATATATATATATATATATATATATATATATATATATATATATATATATATATATATGACTGTCAGACCACGGAGGAAAAATGAAACAGGAAATTTCCTTAAGTACTTTCGTATATTAAATACATCTTCAGAAGGTCCTTTGGACCTTCTGAAGATGTATTTAATATACGAAAGTACTTAAGGAAATTTCCTGTTTCATTTTTCCTCCGTGGTCTGACATTGTCACATTCTTAATCACGTGTTTATTTTCGTGATATACACACACACATATATATATATATATATATATATATATATATATATATATATATATATATATATATATATATATATATATATATATATATATATATTGGTGTATACTGGCAGCAGGTTTTCTTTCAAACATGTTTCATTGAATATGACCGCATATTCTGTATTTATTATTTTCTGGTTTAGGGCTTCTATCCCTCTAACTATTTTCTTAGCATCAGGGCTTAATTGGAATAGGAGTTCTCCAAAACTCATTTTCGTACTTTTAAGGTGAAGAAAAGAAGTGATTTACTATAGAGTGTATTACACTTATTTGTATAATTTGCACGACGTCGTGCAAATTATACAAATAAGTGTAATACACTATAGTAAATCACTTCTTTTCTTCACCTTAAAAGTACGAAAATGAGTTTTGGAGAACTTCTATTCCAATTAAGCCCTGATGCTAAGAAAATAGTTAGAGGGATAGAAGCCCTAAACCAGAAAATAATAAATACAGAATATGCGGTCATATTCAATATATATATATATATATATATATATATATTTATGGCTCTCCTACTCTGAGAGGGTAAGACAGCTGATAGAGAAACTAGTGTGTTAAGCACTTAACCACTGAAGGTGATTAAGATGTCTTTACAAGCTCAGGATATATAGTTACATCACATACATACATTGTTTCATTGATACATTATATGGTAGTGGGTACCCTCACCCATCCAGCAGGTGGTGGGTACCATCCAGCAGGTGGTGGGGTACCATTACTACATAACCTTGTGATACTTTACTATAAATTTGTGGCAGTATTTAATTTTTAATGAAATGCTCGTGCCAATTTCTGAACACTTGTGGTAATGGTCTGTAAACTGTTAAATATTTGTCGCAGGTGGACCATGGCAAGGGAGGCAAATTATTATACACATTACTGATGAATGTCACTTATTAAACCCAGCATACATGAACCGTGCCAGCTGCTTGCTCTGGTAACACCAGCACCCTCACCCCATCACCAGCACCCTCACCCCATCACCCAGGATCCTCACCCCATCACCAGCACCCAGGACCCTCACCCCATCACCAGCACCCTCACCCCATCACCTAGGACCCTCACCCCATCACCCAGGACCCTCACCCCATCACCCAGGACCCTCACCCCATCACCAGCACCCTCACCCCATCACCTAGGACCCTCACCCCATCACCCAGGACCCTCACCCCATCACCAGCAACCTCACCCCATCACCCAGCACCCTCACCCCATCCCCGGGTGTCTTCCAAGGTGTGGGAGTGGCCACCAACCCACAAATGGGTTGGTGGTCAATACCTGCAGGCGCCCCATAACAAAGCGCACTTTGGGAATAACCCCAACTCCCCCTCAGTTCTGTACCCGCCTCCTGAATGGGGTAATGAGCTATCTCTTTCCAAATTGGACAAAAGGAAGAACAATTTAGTGATTTCAAGGCAAACGTTAGACTCAAACAAGAAAGACGCTAAAGATCAATACACAGATAGTGCTTTATAGTTTTAATGGGTCAATTATCTAACTCGAAAGTTTCAAAGTTTAACCAACTTGAAAATTTAAAGGTTAATATCTAACTGGAAAGTGTAATCCTGCAAGCTTCGCACGTGACAGTAAGAGAGCGACCCTTGTGTCCGTGGCTGTGACCTTCCCCTCGACACAGTCATCAGGCAACCTGTCCTCAGACCATTCCATCCAGCGGTCGATCCCAACGACGCATTCATAAATTTTAACATTCATTCAAAACAGTACCTTTCTCAAATATAAATTAATATTATTATAAAATAGCATACTGTGCATGTTTAGGCACTGGTTAGGTTAGGTTAGGCGTTTAGGTTCTGTTGGCGATTATTTGTATTTTGTAGTACGTGGGTGAAGCATTTACATCGTTGAGGTTCGAACGAAAGTCGACAGCGAAACACTTGTTCCGGAAGTGTTGGGAGAAAAGTTTCGCTGACGACTTTTGTTCGAACCACAACGCTGTAAATGCTTCACCCACGTACTACAGATACAAATAATCGGCAACAGAACCTAAACACCTAACCCAACCTATGCCTAAATAAGCCCAATATGCTAATAATTAATAATATTAATTAATATTTGAGAAAAGTTGTTTTGAATGACCAGAATGTTAAAATTGATGATGCGTCGTTGGGGTCGACCGCTGGATGGAATGGACTTGGCCTGAGGACGGGTTGACTTGACACCTTACAACAGCCGTCTTTTATTCTCACTTTCTGGCTCTTGATCGGAAGCTGTGAACATTGTGGGCTGGTCTGGCCGGCCACGTCCACAGCCGGATGTGTTATGATAATGACGCCTCCACAGCCTCTGGCAACCGGATACAAGTTCCATCATATACAAGATGATTCGCCAAGGGATTTAAAAAACGAACTTGATCTTACCTAACCTAAACTACCCAAAACGAAACTAGTCTTACCTAACCCAACCAAGTTAGGTAAGCTGGGAGCTGAGTTAGTGATGCCCGGGTTCACAAATATGCGCGAAAGTACTTGAGGCAGCCTGCGCCACGACTTGGATTAACTAATTGCTATTTGTTCTTAAATGATGGTGACGACGATTTGGGCGCCTGACAGCTGGGTGGACAGCGCTTCGGATTCATAGTCCTGAGGTTCCGGGTTCGACCCCCGGTGGAGGCGAATGGGTAAAATGTTTCTTTCACTCTCATGCCCCTGTTACCTAGCAGTAAATAGATACCTGGGAGTTAGTCAGCTGCTACGGGCTGCTTCCTCGGGGTGTGTAGCAAAAGAGAGAGGCCTGGTCGAGGACCGGGCCGCGGGGAGGGTAAGCCCCGAAATCATCTCAAGATATCCTCAAGATGAGTGTTGGGGACATGTGTCTTCTATCCCATGATCCAGTAAAGTGTTCCTGCGCAGTTATTACGGCTTGTGTTCTCGTTCATGCCACCTCTCGCTCCGTGTCGCTAGTGATGTTCATCTGACCAATCACGTTGACTGTAACATCGTAACATTAGTTTAGCCAATCACTTGGCCGGGTCGGCTTCCTAGGCGACCCTGAAGACGGTGTTCCTACACCCAGTCTTCACTTCAGGTAGTGACTAATAAACAACTACGAATAATTATATTTTTGATTAAAAAAAAATCTTCGAAAACCTTTTTTTATCGAGGGAAGCCGGGCAGAGAGTTACATGTTCGGGGGGGGGGGGGGAGGACCATCTTTGAACATGTTCAGGGGGGAGGACCACCTTTGAACATGTTTAGGGGGGGGACCACCTTTGAACATGTTCAGGGGGGGACCACCTTTGAACATGTTCAGGGGGGGACCATCTTTGAACATGTTCAGGGGGGGACCACCTTTGAACATGTTCAGGGGGGGACCACCTTTGAACATGTTCAGGGGGGGACCACCTTTGAACATGTTCAGGGGGGGACCACCTTTGAACATGTTCAGGGGGGGACCACCTTTGAACATGTTCAGGGGGGGACCACCTTTGAACATGTTCAGGGGGGGGGGACCACCTTTGAACATGTTCAGGGGGGGGGACCACCTTTGAACGTGTTCTTTCAGCCCCCACATTTTACCAACATCACTGTAGCACAACTGCAACACAGTCAAAGTTGACAGGCCACTAAGCTTTACATCCCACTCAATCTCCATTCCCCCCCCCCCCCACTCCCACCACCTTTACCAAATCCTTTGGTCACCAAAGTTCAAAGTACTACCGGCTCAGCTGGAGAACTGACCAATCGCGTGCTTGTGCAGGCGATGTTGTGGGT